ATTGCTGACTGAAATGGTAAGAACCCGTCTGAGCCAATAAGACCCATGAGTAATTTCTTACACCGAAAGAGGGACGACTAAGATTTACCAAAACAACTGCCACATCTTATCAACCATTATCCTGTGACGTCAAGGCTATGACGCATCTGAACCGGTAATCGCCACATTTGTAGTCAAGTGTTGATATCGGTGTAAAGATATACAATCTTATAAATATGACCGCACCTATATGGCGGCGATAACTATGACTAAACGTTTGACAGTCCAAAGGCAGTGTGGTTATTTTTGGTAGCCAGCAGTACTCAGCAAAAGATTCCGCGAACTTATGAGAAGATCATAAATGTCTAAGTGACTTACTTGTGGGTTGAGATAGGCCCAACCTTGCGGGTCTTTTAAAGGTTCACTGACTCAACCTCCAGAAGCATTCTCGTGTTTATAGTATTTTGGGAAGATTATTTTTTGCTTAAAATACTTTAAGGTATGACTAGCTAAAAAAAGAGAACAAAAGACAAAATCAACAGAGTTGAACACTTTCCTTGAAATTATTTTAAAAAAAAATGTTCTGTAGTATTTAGTATTATTATCAAATTATATTTGATAATCAATTGATCAATTTACGTTTATAAAGTTCATTATCTGCAGAATTTCTCCAGGTAAATCTTAAAAGAATACTTTAATTTTTGGAGCCCGCAGAGATATTATTAGCTTAGAAGTCACGCTGGGATCGTGTGTCTTGGGTAAACCAGAGCAAACAAATTGAGCAACCAATTAGCACGTCTATTTATCAACCACATTTTGTTAAGATATTGCCGCCGATTGCGTCTAGTAAGTTTCCACGTTGAATTGCGATCTCAATTAGTGCGCAAATAAAGAAATTAAGCTTTCCGTTTTATCCTCCATTCTCAGTAAATACCAAACAGATGTCTCAGTTCAAATATTACCGCAAAAATATAAAACAGCGGATATTTGCTTATGAAGTTATCAGCGAAATGTTCATCATTAACTGGAAAAGTATCGACAAATAAGCGCGACGGATGTATGTATCTGTGTCTGTCATGATCGCTGAGCGTGTCCGAAATGAGTCATTTGGCTCATCCCGAGATATATACAAATTTCGGGGTCCAAGCTTAGACCAAGTTAAAGCCGCGACCCCGATTTCAGACGCTAATTGGTGCGCAGTCTGTGGTAAGAGGCCTTATCATTCGCCATTCCGTTTATCCGTAATCGTAATCATGGCCCGCGGCGGCATACTTTTAAATAATACCAAGAAGAGTACAAAAGAAATAAACTGGGTAAATATTATGGCCATGTGACAAACGGGCCGTCTTGTCAGCAGGTTTTTTTTTCAAAAAAGGTGTCCCAAGAAATCCCAAAATATAAAAAAAAGGCTAGATGAGCATGCGCCGCTTGTTAAGCTAATGATTACACGCTTTCTGCATCCCAAAAATGCCCGGTGTAGTGTACAGTCTGCGCAAAAGGTGCGACACGATCACCAGTTTATGGCGCTGGAAAGTTGCTTTTATTGTTGAAAGTTCCAAAATTGGTGGATCATTTATTGCCAATTTATGGCATTGAATGAAATTGCAAGGCTGCTCACTTTTACTTTTACTCAGATACAGAGTTTTCTAAACAGTTAAAACATTTACTTATTAAATGGGCCTCTACTAAGGTAATTTTAATTAAATATTTAATCAAATAGAATTTGAATATCAACTTTAAGCTTTGACCTTCTTCGCGGTAACACCTGAAAATCCCCAGATAAGCAATTTACTGATATATTTTTAATGTTTGTTATCTTTGGCGGTTAAGACCTAATAGTTATAAATTTTGGTAAATGCAAACAGCCGGCAAGCTTTTTAAATTGAACAAACAAAGGAGTGTGCAGCGAACTTGAATATCTTAAGATATTAAATAGGTAGAAATCCTTTGGCAAGCCCAAATGATTTTTTTTGTCGTTGTGGCATATCGCCAAATTGGTAAATAAATGCACGTTAAGCATTTCTTACCGGCCTCCATTTTATTCATAAAGGTAACTGCCGGCATTTAAATTCCGCGGGCGAAGCCCACACAGAAAGAAAAAGTGATGATGATTTTTGAATTCACTAGTTGGCAGCGTATAAAGTATTTTAGATTTTTTAGTTTCATATTTAATCTTTAAAACAATACCTAGTAAGATCAAATATACAAAAAAAATTTTGTGATACGTTGGATTAATTAATACTGTTTGTTTTCTGTGTAGATGGGTGCGAACGAGACAGGGTCACCGCGCTTCCTGCGAGAGGGAGAGTGAGTAAGAGAGAGAGGAAAGAAGAGTTCCCTTGCGTGGGATCACATATGCCACTCTTATACACAGACAGCAGCAGCTGATGCAGCATTTAAATATAAGAGTTTGGTTGCCATGCCGGTGCTTATTATATTTACATATATATACGCCTTTGTTTTGTATGATTTTTTTTTGACCGTACTGTACTCTATGTGCCACATACGTATGTATACACATAGATGTAAACATCTATATAATAAAAGTACACTGCTATATTGTATACCATGTGGATGCGTCGCCTTGCTCTCTGTCACAAGTTCACTCGACTCCCGAGTTCAATGCAAGCTAAACTAGTTTTGTTGTCATTTGTTGTGTTTCTCTTGTGGCGGCAAACACGTGCTGTTTCTTCTCGTCTTGCAAACAATGCAATTGGAAACCTGTCCATAAACTTAAAAGCCTCATATGATAAATTAAATCGTTTAGACTTACATATATACTGAGAAAAAAAAACAAAAAAAATATAACTCTCTTCTGGAGAATATTGTTTGGCTTATTAAATTTGTTAACTCGTCAATCTAATGCTCTCTAATCTAATTTTTTTTTTAACATTTAAATTTTTTGAACCGTTTTAAAACTTAAACTTAACTATGAATCTTTTGCAGTTTCTCGAAATATTTATAGTTCACATTCCACAATTCTATAAATAAAATTGTGTATAAAGTGATTTTACAAATAAATTTGGTGGAATTTTTAGGTTACAAAAAAAGTTGTATGCTGGAATGGATTTGAATGTGTTTTTTGGTGAGTGTACTTGTGGCACTACCAACTTACTCGTACATGGCATCCACGAGATCGCGTTCCCAGGTCATTAGACGCTTCATTATGGCCAAAAGGAATTTCGTGGTGTTACAATTGGAAACTCGGGAACTAGGGAGCTTGGGATTCTGCACTGGCAGTCCAAGCACGCGCCGCTGCGTTGTATAACGCTATGTAAATTTGCTGTTTCTGTGGCGATTTGGCGCTCTCTGTTTTGTTTTTATGCGATGGCAACTGAAATGTAACGGCAACAGCGACGTCGGCAGAAATGTTGAGTTGACAGCTCCTCCACACGGCGAAAAAGCAACAAAAACAAAAAAGTTCGCGGCAACCTTGGCTACAGTTGTTGTTATTGTTGGTATTATTATTTATAATTTGTGTAGTTGTTTTATTACAATTATACTAATTGAAAACAAAAGATTCGAGCACTATTCAGATTAACTTTAATACTGTTGACTGAGCGGATGACGTTATCGTTGGATAAACGCGCGTGTGTGGTTGTGTGAGAGTGTGTTCTGTGAGGCAGGTTTCGGTTGGGGTTTTTATTTTTGCGAACTTTTTATGTATTTTCGATATTTATGGGTTATTTATTCTCCCTTTCCTTCTGAATTTTTATATAGCTCTTTATCACAAATGCGTTCTTTTTGTGGTGGGAAAGGCGAAAATGGTTTTTATTTTGAAATAAACAAAGGCGCGCATAATTTTTTTTAAATCCAAACGCTGCTGACAGCGGTTACACAGTTAGTTTTTAATTAAGTCCGGCCACTTTGCCGCTAACGGTAAACAGAGTAACAACACTGTTTTTAACGGTGTCTTTTTTGCCACTGAGCAAATTGTGGCACGAAATGCGTTTTAAATAGTTCTCCGTTTTGCTCTCTTTTTGTTTTGGGATCTTGCAACGAAAGAGCGAGCACGCGGTGGAGCGGGCCAACACGAGCGAGAGCGCGGCGCAGGTGTATAGTGTATAACTTTCTGCGAAGACGGCTAAACTCAAACTGAAACGTTCGGTTGACAGCTTTGTTGCTTTTTATAATTTTGAGTTTAAAGTGGAAGACGCGATAGCAGCAGAGGCAAAAGCAAAGGCAACGCAAAAGCAAAAGCAAAGCAAACACAGAGTGACAACAGCGTGTTGCTGAAATCACACATACGCCCGGCTGGCAAGCCAAACACTCTCAAGCATGAAATACAACAGCTGATAAATTCAGCTCATTTCTTTTGTTGTGAGAGATTAACGGAAGGAGCAGCGAAAGAGCGAGGGAAAGAGGGGCAAGAGGCTCTCTCCTTGCTGCACTGAAAAAAAGGGGCAGCTCTATTTAATACCGAAATAATAAAAAATGGTTAATGTTTTGATAAAAATTTAAGATAAAATTAAACAGTTTGAAATAATTGTTTTTAAATTAATGTGTATAATCCATAAATTCACTCAAATTATATTTAATTTGTTCTTTCTTTTAGCCTTTTACCTAAATCGCCCTTAAATCAAGCAATTAACGCTCTGAATCCGCCGAAAGTCCATAAACAGTTATATTGCCTGACAGTCGATCGTTTTAATAAATCGCCAGAGACAAAAGACTCTTAAATAATGTTCATAAGTCGGAAACTGGTGGGGCTGCGGGTGAGCCGAATGACAATCAAGTTAAAAGATTTTCGCCAATTAGCGCGCATAAAACTCAATTTATAACTGCAGTTTCATTAGTGCCATAAATGCCGACATATATATGTGTAAATATTTTAGCATACCAGTGACTAGAAACCTATGTATATCGACTCATATACAAATATATCAGCCCCAATATGCGATAATCAAATCGGGCACGCCTGCTTATTCAATCACGATTCGTTAAGTGATTAGCGGCCCTCGGAAAAGACTCCGTATCTCCAGTGGCTCTCAAAAATAGATTCAGCAGTGCATGTGACTCCTGACGAACATCCCGTTAAACAGTTACGTTTGCATTGCGACAAATTTATAGCCGCCTCTTGATCGCCCTGATATTTGATAGCAGCGGTATGACTTTGCACACGACCAACTTCAAGACATTCTATTTCCAGTATTCTCTGTAGTCACCTGACGGACTTACGGACAAGTCAACAGACGGATCAAACCATCAAACACACTTTTGCTCTCTTAAAAAAAGCTGAAGGATCAAATAATACCTAAAGGAAATGATAAGGAAATTATCATCTACGGCAATGTAAGTAGGTATCAGCACATTGTGTTACAAACTTAAGTGACTTTATCGACACATGTGTTGATTTACTTAAAACTGTTACTGTTCTCTGCACTTAATCTTCAGTTATTTATTAACACAGTTTGCTTTCTAGATAGGAGTGCTTAATAATCACATGATGGACAAGTCAAAAATAGATCAATACATCAATCAGACCATCTTTTTTTTAATAATCATTCGGAAAATTTGATGCTGCTTTAGATTTTACGATAGTATATTGCACGTGATGTCACATGGTGGACTAAATAGATCAATTCATCACTTAAATTTTAGGAACAGATTATAAAAATATCTAACAGTTTATTATACTACTTCACACATTGACAGCAGTAAATGCCACTTTTAATTTTTAATAAAATTTAAATTTCAGCTGAGTTCTTTATTGCAGTGTAGTTAGATAACAGTAAATTAAAGTGGGTCCCACCATTTAAATGTTAACACTTGCAGACCTTTAGTTAATGTTAATATTTACAACTGCTTGTAAACCGATTAAATAATTTCCGTAGATCAATTTACAACGTGTGACCGATAATTGCCCGTTCAGATCTTGCTCAACCCTTTTCCAGGTGGTGACAATCAACGGGTCGTTGAGTGGTGATTCCGGGGCCACTTATCGAATGGATCTATCATAATAAAAATAATTAATTTTACTGAATCGTGAGCAATCGGCTATCGACGTTCGGACAGGCTCGAGTGGCGCACGATCGGCGACCGCGCAAATATTGGCCAAATCAATTGTCGGCGGAAATGAGGTAAATATCAATCATACGCACCGTGCGCCACAGACAAAAGATTGCGCTTCTCGGAAGAAAGTGTGTCGAATACGCCAGAGGGCATAAATATCACCATCGAAAGCACTTAGGGGCTATTTATAGAATTGGTCTGAGAGACAAGCATAATTCTTTGCATCCACATAGGAAATCCCCTCGTGTTCCGTTTTCTGGCATTCAGCCAACCAAAATGAGTATGAGCAACAGCTCGGCCGGCCGAGCAGTTAACACGTTTTTAATTAACTTATGGGCAAGTGAATTAGTGGATTGCCAAACCGAAATCGAGAATTCGAGACTTCGAGGCGCATTATGCAAATTTATGTCAAGGCAGAGGCAGGTGCAAGTCGTTGACTCTCGTTCTCTGGGAGAACGTTCTCATAAAAAGAGTGAAGTTGCCGCGGCATTAGTGCTCGGTAAACAGGCATGCGTAATGTCAGGGGCGTTCATTTGGGCACGGGCACTGGGTACTGGTACTATAAACCGCTGCAGACTCTACTCCCAATTAAGGCAGCCAGCATCTGAATCAGTATCTGTATCTGTATCACACGCTGAACTAGAAGCAACAGGCGGAAATAATATTTAATTGTCCACCCACTGACGGCGCTCAAATCAAAATAATTCAATTTTGTCATTTCAGGCAATCAAGTCAAAAGGTTTATCTCGCTCTAGTGACTCGGTTCTCCGTTCTCGGTTCTGAATTCTCCATTCTCAGTGCGGCGACCAACTGACCAACAGACGTCACCTCCATTTGCATATCAAAATAACGTACAAGTCGCAGCTATCAATGGACGGGGACACGTTTGACAAAAAAGCCAATAGAAAATAAAAAAACCCACGAAACCAAGTTAGGGGGAAGTGTACCGAATGCTGTTTGATTACCGAGAAAACATAGCCATCTAGATGTGTGGGCTCGGATTAAGTGGATACATTCGTATGTGTGCACTTGCATGACTGCAAGTTCTTGGAAACTTCCACAAAATATAAGGATTTATAAATTTGGTTTTCGTTGAATAGCAAGCACTGATATCTAAGCTACTAAGTTTACTTATTTGTAGTGCAATTATGCTCTTACATCATAAATAACTTGGAAACTGTTGCACAACTTATTTGCAAAGAAGGAGAGCGGAATGAGCTTTTGAGCATATAATCTATAAAGGGTTCTCAGAAATTATTATTTCATCATTTAGCTGCAATTGGGAAGTCAGTGGAATACTAATGAATTCTCAATTTAAAATTAGAATAAACTTGTGCAACTCAGTTTATATAGACAAAGTATTCATAATTTGAAATCTTTCCAACCCATACTTGTTTTATTGGTAAGAAAGCATAAACTAGTTCTTTTGAATTATAGAGTTAGAAACAAAATGAAAAATAATGAATTTAAACGATTATATTTTTTAAACTTTAGACTGGAGCATTAGTGTAACAAAAACGTTTGAAAAATAGAGTACTTACAACTTATTTATTTGGTTTGTTAATAAAATACTTATAAAATACCTATAACAAGTACCAATCATTATTGGTTTAAAAATGTAAATGATGAAAATATTGGTTTTCAATAAGACTAGAGACAATGATCTAGTCTTATTTTTATAGTTTTTGCCAATAAGAGATAATAAGAACGAAATCCCCTTGCTTTCGAGCTACGCGACGCATGAGTAATAAAACATTACTCATACGCTAAGTTGGTCAAGACATTAGGGATCATATCTCACTCACCTGGTTAGAGGTCCGGGCGATTCGCTAACCGCTTTGATGGAACGTCGGATTTGCCGGTGGAAGCTGCCCAGAATGGACTCTTTGCGGGAAAGTTGTGTTCCACTGCCGCTTGACTCGCCTCCAGTGGAATTTATATTGGAGGCATAGGTTGCGGTACGCTTGTAGGTCTCCTCCAGACAGACTGCTCCCTGCTCCCCGACAACTCCAGGACTGGTGGCTGCCACCAGTTGATCCACATTGAGGGGCGTGCTCTCCTTGGAGTCGTTATTGTTGCTACTGCTGCTCATCTTAACTATAAGCGCCTTATCCTTCTCCTCAGGCAACAGTTTCGCCCAGGCATTATCGCCCTCCAACTCCGATTTATCCACTATCATTTTTGGCATTGACTAGTTACGGCTAGTAGTTTAAATTAACTGGTACCCTTTGGTATTTATCGCCGAATGGGGGAAGTAATCGTTATAAGGGAAAATTGGAATAGCTGTTCAGGGCGCGTTTCTTTTGCAGTCTGGAACCGTGCGAGCCAATCATGGATGTTTCTTTGCTGGCGGCCACGTTGTTCTCTGCAACCAAATTGGAACACGAATGCGAGTTAGAGCTAAGTTTATATTCATATATTGGTGTCAAACATCTGGAGGCACTCCTGGACATTGGTACACCGCCCACATCCCATTAATAGGTTCACACTTTTCAGCGTATTCATCTCGCTTCCCGATTATAATCTTTTTAACACACTTAACAAAGTCCTAAAGTTGTGGTTACAAAATTTGTGAATTATACGTTGCAAACTGCGGTTTCAGTTTATTACCGTTATCAAACCGTCTGGGGGTGCTCATCGCGACTGGGACAAACTAGCGATCTAGTGCTACGAATCACTAATAAAATTAGTTAGGGCTATGCTATAAATGGTTGACTTTCCAGTGAAATAAAATGTATATAGATTTCCTGTTTTCAGTGGAAGTTTTTGGGAGAGATATTTTATGACTTAATGTCTTGGAAATTCTCTTTTTTTCGAAATTTTTTTTTTATCTTTAACATTTTTTTAAAAAAATGTTTATTTGCAGTTTTACGGTTATCAACAAGAACATTCAATTTCTGTTATTTTAATTTTTCGCTTTATAATCTGTGGTTTTTGGGAACTAAAGACATCGAGTTAATAAATCCTTAGTAATTTTTGGAAAATATATTTTGTAAAAAAAATGTCTTATTTGACTGTCATTTTATCACATTGTAAATAAAAAGCAAACTTCTTATATATTTGTATTTCAATATTATTTCATTTTAATATAGCCCCTTAATTGCTTCAATATTTTTTCCTCCTAAAAATCGTTTGTTTTGACAGAACAATAAACAATATTCCTATAAATTTATTACACAATTACAATTCTATGTTATTCATGACACATTTGTCTTTAATCAGCATCAAACTATTAGAATTTTAAAACAATTTTAGCTTGCAATATTTCAAGAGAAATATAGATTAGCAAAAGTTCCCGCCGAGTGAGATGGCAACACAGCTTATGCTCTTAAAAATTATAACCGATAATTTGTTGTATTTTCTTGTTGGAATATTTCCATAATTTCATATTTCAGCGCTGAGTTTTATTTGTTGTATGCAAATTTAATGAAGTCAACATTTTATTTTGGGGTTCTCTCGTCTGCGGTGCGAGAGACCATAAACGGGAAACACGTAAAATAATAACAATAACATAAGGGCTAACAAACCGTTTTCACTCGAGATTTTTCCCAGAAATTAGTACTTTGTTATATTTTAATACTAAACCCAAACAATATTGGGTTCCTTTTTTTCGGCTTATCGCAAATTTACGCGAATTCCTTTGTTATCAGCAATACGCCCGCGACTTTCGTTTGAAATTTCGGAATTTTCAAACAGCGGACCGCGAACCGCGCGATTTTCGAAGTGAACCTGCTGTGGACGAGTCGAGATGGAGACTGGCGATTTATTTTGGTTTTGATTTCGATTTCGGTCTTTTATTTTCGCTTCTGCTGCTCTGCTCGCGCACGCACGCGCAAAACGTGGGAACAAAATTGCGAACGGGATGGCAGGTGGGCGGGATGGTGGTAAGTAAAGAAGAGCTATTACCGTTTGTTTTTATTTGAATTATTTTGTTTTTTTTTCTTTTTGTTTTTTCGCCTCCGTTGTGAACGAGCGGCGTTCGCAAATTGACTTGGCGCTCGAGTGCGCGTTGCCTGTTTTATTATCCAAAACCGAGCAGCAACAACAGACGCCGCAGCAGCAGCCACCGCAGTAACAGCAGCAGCAGCAGCAACAACTACAACAACAACAAGAACGACCGGTAGCGTCATCTAGCACACACATTTTTTTTTATCGAGTTGGCCAAACGAGGCGTCGGCGTCTGCTTCGGACTTCGTCGGATTTTGTTGCTGCCTTTGCTGCCATTGTGCTTTTGCTTTGCTTTATTTTACAGCATTGCCAAATCTGTCATAAGGACGCCGGCGTCGCTGTCGCAGCGCTGCCGACTAACAGATGTTGGCGCCATGTGATTGCCGGCAGAAGCTCCATAGAGAAAGTGGTGTGCGAGAGGATAAAATAGAAGAAGAGAGGCAGAGAGCGGGTGAGCGTAACAGGTGGGTAATCCTTTAAAGCACGGTAAAGTGAATTAAAGGTGTCCGCTGTGTGAGAAGTGCGCAAAAGGAGATCCCTATCGTTGACAGGAGCGTAAGTAAGATATTTCCAAGGGGGGCATAATTGATCAACAAACGTTAGGGTGAACCGAAACGGCAAAATATAGTTCAAGTCTCTGCTATAAATTTAATCCTTTGATTCACAACTTAATTCTTTGAAAATAAATATTAAATGTGTCCTAAGTTTCTCCGGTTTCATCAAAATTTAATATTTTCTTTCAAAATTTTACTTGGTAAGTTTTAAATTAATTATTTTAATGAGCTAAGGATCCTTTTACTTAGGAATTTTTTTTAATTGTAAACTGAAATAATATCTTAAAACACATTATCTAAAAAAAAACATTTTTTAACTATGAAATTCCTTTTTTATGAGCCGCTGCTTGCTGCCAATCAATCAAAAGTCAGTATCGTAAACTGACAAATATGTTTTCTACCATGCTAACACCCCTAAAAAGTTCTTTGTAATATATAACCCAGTGATAAAGCAATGTCAGTTGATAGTGTCGCTCACAATTTGCATCATAAATCCCTCACTTTGTTCAGTTCCTGCTTTGTCTCTTTCACTTTTTTTCCCCAAGTCAAAAAATATTAGCTTACCTAGTACAGTACTAGTTAAGTAACTGTTTTGAATTGATTTATGTTTGTTTGATACTAAATATTTAAAAATTGCGCACAAAATCAAGTCAGGTTCAATTAAGTTTAGTTAGTAATTTTACATATTTTTAAAATATGTTTGGGCTTTTTAGAATTTGCCTTAAAGGTATCCTTTTCGAACAATTAAAATATTTTGGTATGCATTTTCTTGTAGAAAGTATATTCTCGTTTACTTCAAGTGCAAGCATCTGTATCTGTATCTGTATTTGTACACTGTTGCCGCCTTTTACACCTGGAAATTGTTGTTCCCCACAGAGCGAATGCAAACACAATCAGTGCAAAGTGCAGGGTGTCACATGCCCACAGTTCGTATGAATAGAAATGGAAATAGCCAGTGAATCATTGTGTATTCACTTTGCCCAACAATCCAAACGCTGCCATTACGGTAAATGGGTAATTGAATAGGTGTTTGGCGAATCACGTTTGCAATTTCGGAAGAATGGAATATTATAAGCTGTTGCTTAATTAAGTCCTATAGAATTGCACTTGCACCCCTATAGTATTTGATTTATAACCAATTTCGGTTAATCGTGCTTACACAGCACGTGGCTTAGGTATCATTAAATGTTAGCGGTAAGCAAAATTCAAGTTTTAAAATACAACGGATGAGATAAACAGAATAATGACTTTTTGTTATGGCTGTAGAAAATAAAACCAATAAATCGAAACACTTAAGATAATATATATTATGAAATATAACTGACTATTGTCAATAGATTGTTTTTTGATTATTGTATTGATCTATTATCTAATTTTATGCTGTGCTATGCTTACTTTCCTGTTTAAACTTGTTTCAATTTTAATTTAAAAACCTATTAAAAGATCTTATTCATTTTGGGTAAACGCATTAACGAATCTAAATGCACTTGCCGCTTCTGACGTCAATGGCTTGATATATTTACCCCAAATTTTCCATGCACATTCGTAAATAGAAATTAATCCCACACAATAAGTTATTTATATGTTTGCATGCCACTAAAACTGCACTGTCTAATAACTGGCACAATGCGGTGAATAAATGCTCAATTGCCTTAGATATAAATCTTATTATATAATTGCGAAGAAAGGGAACACATTTACAGCCGGAAAATCAGTAACTCGTGCGCCTGTGTGGGAAGGCAAAGAACACGAACCAGTTTCAAGTGTGCCAATTAGGTATTTCAGCTTAAGTCTCGACTCCCCCAAGACCTCTTTTATTTGTGACATGTGCTAAAGTGGAGAATTATATGTATACACAGCAAACAAAGGCCGGGTTTCGTTAAGGCTTTGAATAAATAAGAAATCTATAGGTTCTCTAAAAAAGTACTATAAGTTTATTAGTATGTTACTGCAAAATCATAGATAAAACATTTATAAAATAAATACATAAATTATGGATTTTAACTAACTGAAAGACTATTGCCCAAGTAACTTTTCACTGTGTAAATACTTGAAAACAAACGTAGAGTTGGCAGCATGTGTGG